GGGTCCGCGGCCGAATCACGTCTTCCATCACCTGTTGCGCCTGTTGGAAGCCAAATTGGTGGTCCTGCCTCTCATGGGAGCAACGGGCCCGCCAGGCCAGCATAAGGACTTGCAGGCGCGTGTAAGAGAAGAGGTTGATTGCGAACGGGGACCAGCTGGCCAGCAGGTGTGTGTTTTTCCCCAACAGCAGGAGGCCCAGGTCCCAAGGGATGTGGACAGACGTAAGAGAGTGAAAGGCGGCGTCCCACCATTGCCACAACTGGGCCACCATCGGGCATGAGAGGAGACAGTGTTCGAGCGTCGCACGGGTAGTCGGTGACGCCCGACCGCAGTATGAACATATGGGGGAGAGCAAGCCTCTCTGCTCCATGCCAGTTCTGTTGACCAACCAGTCCGGGGTGGGCAGGCAGCGATGCAGGATCTGCCATTGCAATGCTCGCAGGTTTGCAGGCATCACCTTAGCACACGCAGACCACGGCAAATCGTGCAGCAGAGCCGGGTCCATTGGGGAATCGCGGGCCCAGCGATCGGCCACCGTTTGATTCACCGGCTGGTCCGGGTTGGAGGCTCTATAGCCCCCTTTGACTGTGTAATCCCAAATTGGCATCGTCTTTCTTCCCGGCCACTCCCATTCCAGCGGATCAAAAGGCAGCATTGCCACCGGGGTCGAAGCCTCATAAACGAAATGGCCAACTGCAGAGTCCCCCACGACTCTGACCTGCTGCAGGCCTCCCCACTGTGTGTCCCTGTCAAGGTCTTCATTCCGGGCAAGCTTGGAAAATCTCGCCCTTGGCAGCATGGGTTCGTAGGCCTTGAGGGTGCAGGCGCTTTGCTTTTTGGTGCATACTCGATACGCCGTGGGCGGTGTAGGGAGGTCTGAGAACTGCACCACCTGTCTGGACGGTGGGGGCTTTCATAAGAACAAGGTGCCATGCGATCGGAATCGCCTCTCGGAGCTCAGACAGTTTGTCATCCACACATTTGACGTGTTTGAGTGTTTGCTGCAGCTTCGGCGCCCGCACCCAGTCATTCGCTGACACATCCCACAGATCTCCTATGGTGAACACTCCTTTACGGGCCTAGGTGAGCCAGTGGGAGCGTGTTGCCAAGGAGAAGGGGCGACCCGCCGCATCCAATATACAGGGGTTACCAAAGAGAGGCTGGCGCCAGATGTCATGCCATCTGAGGGGCGGCTGCCACTGTTGGGGGCCACAGCGGCGCCAGAGTTTAATCATGTTCGGCCAGAGAGGGTCTTGGAGCATGTCTGATCTGGTCGGCTGCGCGTGGGCATCGATCTGGCCGGTCAGTTTCGGGGTGGGGGCGGCCCAGTGAGCGTTGGTCAGCCATCGGAAGGTGTGGATCTGTTTATGCCCTAGAGGTTGCGGAGCCAAATTAGCAAGCTGCAGACATGCGAAAGGAGCCCATGGGATGTCGGTGCCAATGAGGAGTCTGATCAGCACCTTGAAGATAAGGGATTCACTTTCGCGGCGCGGGTCAAGAAT